AAGAGAGAAATTGAGAAATGTTATATCCATACATAAAATTAAATGAATATGTCATTAGAATAAATTCTTAACAGTGATATTTCAAACAGAGTGGCCAGATTGTCTACCTTTTAGAAATGATTTTTCTTTTGGATTTCAGACTTGGTCATCCTGTTTCAAAACTCGAAAATCTTTTCGCACGTCGTCTTTAAGACGATGTGAATGTGCTTAGATACGACAGAAAAAAAACGAAAGGAATGGTAGAGAGGGGCAAAAGAAAGCCGGCAGTATGCTGTCCTATATGAATAATTTCCAAGTTTCATCAGTTGAGCACAAACTGTGTCTTACCTTAAAAACGTTCCTTGCTTCGCTCCGTTCAAATCGAATTCTTCGTAGATTTCTCATTATAATTCATCTCTCTATAGTTAGCTAGTTAATGATACCAGTACGCAGAGAGTGTATGGTAAAGATCACAAAAATAGGGTTATGATAAAATTAAAATAAAAAACAAACAAACCAAAAGCAGAAGTTTTGAGTGTACCAAGACGGTACAAAAGTGTTCAATTCGTTGGTTGATGAAAATTCGTTTGTATGCAATTCCGTAGTTATCGCATTATACGTTCCACATTAAAACCATTATTGTTGCATCACTTCTTCGCGCATGACCTAACATGGCCGGTGATACCTTGTGGTTTGAGTGACCTTACACATACTGGACAATCGTACGCACCATTGACGTTTTTCTTCAACAACTCGGTGATATTCCCTTTAGTTGAAGTGTTCTGAGCCATTACCCCTGCCGTTGTTGTTGGAGTCACTGGCTGACTATTGTTTTTGAGATCGCATGATCGTCGATGAATTAGAACACCTTGTTCGTTTTTGCATGTTCGCCCACACTTAGGACACACACTTGGTACTGGGAATGACAATCGGTTGAGCAGCTGACGTGTCAAGTGCTCCTAAACATTTCCTCTACTCTGCTCTCCTTTTCTCCGCTCGCTCTTTGTAGGATCTTATTCAGATGTTGTTCAACGAGTTTTTGATGGGTGTGCTTGTTAATTAACTGTCTCAAACCGAAGGCTAGAAATTTAACAGCGAAAGCATTAACTGGCTGGCATTCGTGTAGGATCGGAAACTAGATCGATGTCTGTAAAGTAGAGAATTGGTCATGGTTTTGTAAATCGAAAAGCATTTCTTCAATGTTTATTCCTCTTAATTATTTGGTTATCTCTGAATGTTTCCGTGCAGGTTCTTATACAACTAAATCGATTAAAGATTAACTTTCTAAAAATTTCTGAGATAGTCATTCGATAGAGTTAAGGGAGCGCACACCAATAAACAATGTGTCACCGTTACACTGACACGGCACTGATACGGCTAAAAAGGTGCGTCTATGGGTTTCGACAGTCTTTTTCATATAAAATTAGATGATCTCGTATGATCTGCGTGCTTTGTATTCTCCTAATTGCTGAAGTCTTAGACCGCTGATCAAAATCAAAAGGTTTTCCAGAGGGTTTCTAGAAAACCAACTTACCATTATAGAATCCAAAAATAGATCTTCTGCAATGGATTTGATAGATCTTGCTATCCTTTACCTCGCAAGGCCGAGCTCGCTAGCTTGTTCCGTTCAGGAACTAGAAGCTTTTTCCCGAGAGCCTGATTTCAGCCAGTTGACTTTGGATCATTCTAAAATGGGTCAAGATAGGGGTAATCGGCCACGCTGAGCCGAGCGATGATATTTATTTATTTTTAGTTTCAAACCAATCTAAAGTCACTATATCCAGATTTTCAAATTCCAGCATTCTGCCGCTATGCTGCGTGTAGAGCAGATATTTCGAAAATCTTGAAGCTCCTTTCTGAGTTTCAGGAGCTACAGCGGATCCGGGAAGGGATGTCTATCTGCTCCCGTTAAGCCCGGAAATCTCGAAATGACGTTAGACATTGGCTATCGACCATATTGAATATGCTGGTAATGTTCATTTTTGTTCCTGAGCTAGTCGGACTTCAAAAGAAGAGTTTTTCAGAAAATTTGGTTTTTGCACATTGACTATGGAAGAATAAAAAGACGCATAACTTCGGCAATTTTCATCCAAAATACTTGAAACTTCGCAAATAAACTTTTTTTGCAGTGTTTTGCCAATTTCATTAGTTGGAAATTTATAAGCACTTTCAAACCCAAAAAGGTCTTCTGGAGACATTTTCAAAACTTGCCGACCAATTTTTTACAAAAATTGAACTTTTTAAAGTTTAGGTTCTTCCAACTGAGTCAACAGTGGGAATTTGAAGGTTTTCTCTGTAGAATTATGACTTGCAGACGATTCTTATTCTTCCATGGTTAAATAGTCTCAAATTGTCGAAAAATGTTTGGTTCTATTTCCCGTGTGTTCCGCGATTCTTCTAATTCTCTTGGTCTTCATCTTTATAAAACCTGCATACATCCAACTTTGGAGTACTGCTACATTTTATATGATACGTCTTACATTTCTCATCTCTCTGTGTTATATAACATACAAAAGCTGGCCTGTAGTATAATCCTTAGAGATTATGACAGTTGTTCTTCGCAACTTTTCACTCGGCTAAATTTAGCACCGCTCTCCACTCGAAGAAAATATTTTCGTCTTGCTTATTTTCGTAAACTGTACAACAGAAGAAGTGTTTTGTCTGTTAGAAACCTAATTACTCCGCCAACAAATCGACGGTCGTCTAGAATAACGCATGATAAATAAATTCAAAAACTTTACTATTCCTTAAACTTTACTCTGCTCCGGGGTCATTTTTTCCTCGTACCACTGACGACTGGAATGTGCTACCATGCGCCGTTGTGAATCAAACCAGTCACACAATCTATAAGAGTCTTTTGAAACAACATCCTCAACTTTTATAATTAATCTGTCTTTTCTTGTACCTTATCACCAAAATGTATTAAAATGTACCATCCCTCTTTGGTGCCATATATGAGTCTGTCATGTAAACTTATATTTCAAATGTAACTTGCTCTTTCTAGTATTTCTTCACTATTTTCGGTGTTGCATTACCAGAAGCTAGCCTTCCTTTGTGACAACCATGCTTGCAAAAATAAAAATTCAGTTCAGTTCAGTTCATGTGCAAAAGCCAAATTTTCTGAAAAACTCTTCTTCTGAAATCCGACTAGCTCAGGAACAAAAATGAACATTACCAGCATATTCAGTATGGTCGATAGCCAATGTCTAACGTCATTTCGAGATTTCCGGGCTTAACGGGAGCAGATAGACATCCCTTCCCGGATCCGCTGTAGCTTCTGAAACTCGATAGCTAGAGACCTAGCAGTTTTGTGGACTTGTATACGGCAATTTTTGGAAAAATTCATTTTTTTGAAAACGTTGATTTTTTGTTTATAAGGTTCTTGGAAGAATGCTAATAATTGGTAAAAAGAGGTTTATTCTCAAAAAAAATTTGACATTCGCATTACAAACCAAATTGTTTACTGTGACCTCTACGTCATCGATTTAAGCATAAAAAATGCTTTTCTGGACCTCTATTCATAACGCATCATAATGCTAATTTACGTATGTTTTACACTAAATAGTTTAGAATCATCACAAATATTGTAATTTAATCTGCTTTTGACATCGGTTTTTTGAGCGTATGATATTTTACATCACTGATTCAATAAACGACAATACTCACTGGAAACTCTACTACTGGAAGTTCTTCTGAGAGAGGACGAATGAATTTTTTGTTTGTCAATCTGCAGCAATAACGCTGTCGATACACTATTTTTCTGCAATAACATAAGTTAATATTATTAAAATATGTACAATATAGAAATACTGTAGAAAAATGATGACAGTGATATTAATTATTCTTATGGATATTCGAAAGATACTTTATAGAGCAGTTGTTAGATACTTGGATATACCAGTACAGATAATAGCTCATAAATTTCATGAACAATCTTGGAAAAGACTGTGTAGTCCTTGAAAAACTCATTAAAGACATCACAGCAGAAATCATTTGTTACGAGTGGCTGTACGGAAAGGTCAGAATATCTCAAATCATGTATCACAAAAGAAAGACAGGAAAGAGTGAGAATACGTATTGGGATCATCAAATCAATTAATTGTAAAACATTCATTTAGTAAACATTTCTCATTTAGTAAAATAAATGAAGGAGTTCAAAAGGATTGTATAATATGTATCTTAGTATACTCAAATCATTAGTATAGGTGTTTCTGAAATTAGTTATGTATGTTGAAAAGGTTGAGTAGCTTTTTCATAAATCTTTTATTGTTTCATTGACTTCTTATCAAACGTCTATCAGCAGCAGCGGCTATCCGATCATAGTTTGTTTACTGTTTAACTTAGATTGAACTGTTATTGTGACATTAATTTGTAAATTAGTTATATCGAAAGAAAATAGATGGAAAAATATGTTGTCAGTAGTTTCACTTCCGTTGTTATATCGAAGGACAAAGACGTCGATGTGATACATCTGCATACTCTTCTGACCTTAATCCCCATAGAATAATTTTGTCTTTGTATCGAGTAAACGCTCTGCGACTACATTTCTTTCTATTACTTTTTTTTCTTTTCTGTTTTCCCAAAAAAATTATATCCCATAAAACAACGGACGCTTAAGAAACAATAATAACTATAGATTCTCTCCCCCTAAAAATGTGACGAATATAGATATCTCATCCATCGTATCATTTCTCTTGCTTGTATTCATAGCATATCTCAACAACTATTGTATAACGCGAAAAACAAAGTTGTCTAATAGCTGCTCGTTTTACGTGTAGGTGTAAGGAAAAATCTTCTTTTTTTTTGCTGTACGAGAAAATATGACAACAGAAAAAAAAACATTATTTATCTGTTCACTTTTTTTTGCTAGTATCGTACAAGATAGAACAACTTTTTTTCTCTTGCTGTGTTCGTAGATAAGATTTTCCTTGATTTTGTCGATATCTTCAGCCTTAGAGAAAAATGTGAAGTTGTTGTATTTGTTTTTGTTGAATTATTAATTGTTTGACTCTCGTCGTTAAATGAGTAAAGTATTTATATCTCGATCGGATGCGAGCGTATCATGGGGTTTTCGTTTACAAGGCGGTATCGACTATAATGAACCGTTACGTGTAACTAATGTAAGTTATTCTGAATTAAAAGTGTATACTACAATTGAACATTATATATCCTTATCCTTAATGAAATTAGATTTGCGATAAAAAGGGCAATTAACTCCATTGTATGTTCTAATTGTAAAAGATTTTACATTTCTTTTGTTTCACAAAGATATACTAATTATTAATTAAGTCCAATTGAATGTTGTAACTGATCCATTAGTCTTTGACACTCCAAATGATCACACATTGTTAGCAATTACCTTATTCTTTTGTTTCAAAGAATTATTAACCTTAACTTGACTTAGGTTTTGAGTATAAATATTTGTCTAAGTATTTTAAGTAATTTCGCTTCTCCTATGAGGATATTATTTATTTGTCTTATTAGTGCTTTTAGCTTAGTTTAATGTACGTCAAAAATATCTTACACTAAGTTAATGAGAAAAAAAGCTAAATATTTAATTTTTGCTGTACATGTAAGCTATTTTTTTTACTATCAGGTCGTTCCAAACTCACCAGCCGATGGTAAAATTGATCCTGGTGATACGTTATTGGAAATAGCCGGAAATAATGTTGTAAACTTGAGACATCAAGATGCTTTGGAATTAATTCAACGATGTTCCAATGCACTATTTTTAACCGTACACAAGTATGATTTTTTATCTTTAACACCAACTCTTATTTATAATTGATCTTGTCATTACTTTAGAATTGGCTACACTTATCCACCAACATCGAATCGACCAGTTGCTGCCGTTTGGAAACCACCGCAACAACAACCACCGCAGCAACAACAATACCAACAACAACAACCGCAACAACAACAACAATACCAGCAACAACAACCACAACAACAGCAGTTACATGGAAATTATTATCCGCACGATTTCACCAACGTTAGTGGTGGACAAGCACATCAACCACAGTATCAACAACAGCCAAATTTGTATAATTCGGCAAGACCTTATGATCAATCGTACAATTTCAATAATTCTTATCAAAATGCGAGTGGAGCATACAATTTTAATCCACCACCAAGTAATCAGTACAATTTCGGAGGACCATTACCACAGCAACAGCCGATGGCAGCTGTACCACCACCTCCTCCTGCGCCTCCGGCACCACCTATGCCAGTTCAGTCTTCATATATCCCAATGGCCCCTCCATTGGATGCAGCTCTAATAGCAAGCGCTGCTAGTACATTGCGATCTCAACCGACAAGACCACCAATACTCTCACCACAAACATCAATTGATCAAACTGTAGGTAGACTGTACACTCTCTGTAAAGCTATAAGTGCTTCATATACGTCAATCTATTTGCAATCATGTTTTACAGGATTTATCAAATGTACCAGCTGCCTTGATGAAAAGTTTGAGTAGACCTGGTGGTCCGAAACCATTCACATATACACCAGGTGGTCTAGATTTATCCAAAATTCGTGAATCAGCAAGAGTTCGCAGGTATTTCAGAATTGAATCTTTAGAATGTATTTGTCTATAACATTTCTCTTAAAACTAATATTCTACTAAAGCCATCTATACAACAATCATATCTACTGTCTGATATTAATTAAAGTGACTGACACAACTCATGTTTCACTAGTTTTATAACTAGAGGCATTTATAGTAGTTTATTTTAAAATATCACGAAAAACGTTTTCTTTTTACCAGAAGTGTACGACTTTGTGACCAATTTCTCTTCAACTTGTTTCTATAGCCTTCGGTTTTTATATGTGTTTATCTTTTGACCTTGTGAAAAAGTGTTAACAGCATAAGTCTATGATCTGCAGTGGAACTTCTCTCATCTACATTAAGGATACTCGATTTGACTCTCTTAATTTCTAAGTTAACCAGATTTTCTACCGTCACGTATGTAAGAGAAGCCGGTGTTGAAAAGAACGATTTGAAATTATTGAAAATTCCTTTTTTCTCTGCTATGTGGGTTTTAACTACTATTTTCCCCCACTGTTCTCAGATATTATATTGGGAAGTTCTATTAAAAACGTTCGTCATAAACTGCTTGTCTGTGAATTAATCATTACAGTCTTGAATGCAAGGTGGTAATCAGAAATAATTTTTAGTTTTAAATTTACTGTCTGAATTATTCAAGTTTCTTTTATGATTTTTTTAATTCATTCTCCATCCTTGTCAAATTACACATCATCCTTGGCCTGTCGTTTCACATTGAACTGTTACATGTACTCGTGATATGTTTCATTACTTACGATAATCTCATATATTTGTAGAGAAGAGAGAACATAAGTTATTACCTAATAGTTGCGGTGTTTTTCTTACAATTATTTTTATTAAATATACTGGCAGGTGTCTATTACTTAAAGAAGAGAGAGAGCGGCAAGGGTAAGAGAAATAAAACTTGACAAATCAGAGCTATTTATAAGTTTCATACACAGACCAAAAGGGAAGTGTGCGAATGTAAAAAGAGCTGATTATTTTAAAGAAAGAGCAAAATTAGTTTGTCGAGTAATTTTAGCATATTTTTTTTTTTGTAGAGTTTTATACTAAACTCTATACAATAAAAATAAGAATAATATTTTTTCAACAATTTACTTAAAGACATGAAAACACAACTTGAAAATTGTTGTTTTAAAGTAGCAATAACCTGGTAAAGTTGAATATTCTGTTTATAAAGTTTTTGTTCAGAAATAGTTTGTATCACAGTCATTAGTGTGAAAAAAATGATAACAATCAATTTATCTGAGTTTGTAAGTAATTGAAAAGAGACCGTGCGCAACTTTAAAGCCTCATAGTAAGAGATAAAAGTACTGTGGATGTCAAATGACCGGAGATATTCACATTAATCTAACGGTCACAATAATCCTTTAAAGAAAATTGATCTACTTTCCAGCGTTAAGTTTGATAAGAAAAAACATAAAAACTATATCCGTAGTAAATTAATTCAAATTGTTATTTAAAGTATCTTCATTTTTTTGTTAGTCCATGTTTGTGTTATGTAGTAGAGAAGAAAAAAAAATGATTTCAAAAAGTATTTACTTCGTCATAAAGATCAACTATACGTCGTTTTTACTATACATATCAAAAGATTTATTCAAGTTTTTTTTAATGAAACTACGATTACTCATTTTCTTAAACATTGGTATAATGCCAACGAAAACAAATACAGTTTATTTCGCAAACTTTAACATTTTGTCTCTCTGTTTATGCGCATGTTTATTCAATCATGATTATACCTGTGTAAACTAATTACTGACTTCGATCTTTCATTCTCTTTCCCATACACGTACATGAGAGTGCGGTTCACTTATTTTTTTATCTCTTTACGCCAGATACTTCTTTTGGAAAACAAAATTTTGGTTAATAGATTCAATTATAGTCTATCTGGTTACTTCTTTTATTCGTTGCACTTTCATCTTCTTCTGTCTCTCCTTTTCTCTCTCTTGCTGTTACTTTTGTTTTCGTTGTTACCAATTTTTATTAGACTATACACACACACACACACACTTACACATACATACATAAAATAAAAAAACAAGAATGAAATAAGAGAATATGGCTTTCTTCTTTTTCGATTCTCAAGTATTTGACACCTCAATTTATGTTTTATTAACTACTACAATAGAAAGGAAGATATTTATTTAAATCGTGAATCTATTAGAACAATGATCTGAAGGACGTCTCTACATCAGAAGTTCCATTATTATCTCTTATTTGTTCGCTGTTTCTCACTTCTTTCTCTCTCACACATAAAATATTATTGACATACTGTAAAATAGTTATGAGCTTTCATTTAGTCTACTGATTTATGGTAGATTAATTACTAAAGATTAATTGTAGGAACAAAAATAAAAAATGTGATGTGTCAGTCAAAAAGAAAAAAATATGTCAAAAAATTTCAGTAATAAAAAACAATATACGCATTAACGTTTTTGGAAAAATAACATTTATTGAACATGAAATTCCAAGTAAGTTCGTTTGAACTTAAACGACTATTAGTCATCAACTCGAACACACCAATATCTCTAAGCTATTGTATTATTTTCTTGGTGTACAAAAACGATATATACAATAGAAGATGTATTAGTTGACAATTAACTTATTCAGTTGGGTGCGAAACAGTAGAAAAATGAGACTAATCTGAAACATTGCAGAACTCTAATAAGTTTCTAAGAATGGAACATTCTCAAGTGTTTTGCCGCTTTTTTGTTAAAACACAGCTGTTAGAGATGAATTTTGGTTATATTAATTTAATTATATTTTGATACCATGTTGGAAGACTGTCATCTATAAAAAGTCATCATGAACTTTCGAAATAACAATTTTAAGCAGTGACAGTTACCAGTCTTACAATATGGTCCAAGACAGGTGTGTGGTGAGAAAGAGTATCAAATTCGTAACAGGCATCGAAAATTATCTCTAACAAAACTGTGTTTTTAGGTAAAAATCGAGCAGACACTCGGGCAAGAACGTTCCTTTGTAAACTAAAAGTTCAAACTTTCATATTTGGTTTTTCATTCTTGTCATTTATGAAAAATTAAGCGAAATTCGTAAACTAGTGAGAATAAAAGAATTTTTTAAAAGTTTCAAATGATTGAGAAAAATCCATACAATATTACTGATTAACGAAAGAAGGTCCCCAAGTGTCCTATCGCTTTTTGCTCGAAACATACATGGTTAGAGGTAATTTCCGACGCTGATCACGAATATGATATTCATTTGGGCTCGCATGGACTTTTGACGTAGATTACCTAGAAAATCAGTCTCTTGAGACCCATCCTAAAATCCAAGGAAAATGAAGAGATTTTGATCTATCTATCTTGTAGAGCACGTCGAGTAACCTGTATGGAAAAATATCCAGATCCAAAGATTGAGTTTTGGATGACTTGAAAAGTTTCGAGATCCATGCCAAAAGTCCATATGAGCCCAAATGAATATCATATTCGTGATCAGCGTCGGAAATTACCTCTAACCATGTATATTTTGACCAAAAAGCACATGGACACTGTGGGGCCTTCGCTCGTAGTTCATACTTTTTCATACTTTATAACTGAAAAAATATATTGAACTATCCGTGAGAAATAAAAGTTTATTTTTCTTTATTATAGACATCGTGAGTACGAATCGAATACTGACAATCCAGCGCAGCAAGAACAACAGCCTCCGGTCACAATGAATCGTCGTATTGTACCACAAGAGCCAATGAATCATCATTATACAGCTCCTGGACCGCCTACTGGATTTCAACCATTTAGTTACGCAAGTACACAACATTCAACGCCACCACCAGGTCCAAAGAAACAAATTATTCATGATACAGATGTGTAAGTTTCATACAAAATAAAATTTGCGTTATTATTACTTTCATCATTATCATATTTCAAGCATTACTCAATCACGCTCATTTCAAATGCTTCAAGGATGGATATCAGACAGTGAGAAAACAGTACAGCAAGCAAATAAGACAACATCAGCAGGTAAAAATGGTTTTCTCCATATAATACCATAATTATATTTAACAAGGGATATGCAAAATAGACGGTGGGGGGAAGGGTATTCACACATTTTTGATTAACTTATTTAGACTACATTAGTTTTTTATACATTTGCAGTTGCTCGTGCTGTTCAAGATGAACAATCTGGTGGACGACGAAGAAGCAGCGGCAGTGGAAATAGTGTTGCTCCGCCATCTCGTTCATTTCGTTATCTTCAAGATCAATACGATAATGGACCGGACGGAATGACAACGACAACGATTACAACAGAAGAGACCACAATAGTGAATGCATCGAATGAGCCACAGCAAGGAGCGGGACTTCGTCGAGGAAGTGATAGTCATGTACCATCGAGATCATTTCGATATTTACAAGATCATATTGATTCAAATCAATTTCAAGCGGGAGCATCGGTTAATAAATCAGTGGTGAATAACAGAGATGATCTCATGGAAATTTATAATAAACGTATATTAATACATCCGTTGAATATGGATAATTATGTATAATTTGTCTTTTGTTTAGCCCCACCAAGTCATCGAGAACGTGAAGCAGAAGCTCCAAAGTTCACCGGATCAACAATCCCATCACGTTCATTTCGATTCTTACAAATGATGACACAAGAGGATGAAAACAATGGTATTTATGTTTCTTTGTTATTGTGTAACGGGCTCGGCTGAGAAAATGGCACCACTTTGCAACTAATTTTTTGACTAGCCACATACATCAACCGCAAAAGCTTCGGTCTAAGCATAGAAAACACTTGAATTTTCTTTAGTCTCTAGTGCAGTGTTTTGATCAAAATGCACTTTAGTCGGCTTTACACTACATCCAATCTGCATACTGACAGGTTCCAAACCACAGATTGTGCATGCTTCTTTTTATAGAAAAAAAATGCGACTAATTACGCATGTATTTTTTGTCCAAGCATTTTAAAAGTGGCAAACAATTCCTCATCTACTAGCATATGTATGAGTTATGTACGAATTATTTGTTGATGAAAAAATGACTACAAAAGGATTCCGTCGGTTTTAAAAATATCACTTAGTTACCATGAAATTAATAGATAAAGATTGAGTTTTATAATAATGCTAGTTTTAGAAGGCGCACATTTCTATATATTTTTGAAGCCTCACATCTCTATGATTTCTGAAAAAATGAAAAAGTTTGATCGATACCTATACATTAAAAAAGTTTTTTCTCGATAACCTTCCACTATTTCGAAAATGTTTTTTGCCATTAGATAGGCGAGATTATTGTGCATCTACATCTATCATCGTTATGTTGTGAAATGAAGAAGAGTAGAAAAATGGTCGAAAGATAAAAGTTTGTTATAATTTTTAAAAAATATCATGATCAATAAAAATGCTATAGCTCCATTAACAACGTTTGCCGCAAGAGCACGCTTGTAGAAAAACATCCTTAAATTCTGACATTTAAAAGACAAAAATAAATTGTTCCGTGAGAACTACAGTTTTTTTCATACAAAAAATTAAGGTACACTTTTGACACAGCAATTTTGATACTACGTGAATAAAAAAAACTGTTCTACGCAAAAAGCGATCAAAGATTTAAACTTTAGTTTTAGTTCCACTTTGTGAAAAATTCCATTTTCTATCTTATACGGTATAAAAATGTTGAGGTGGATTGTGGATGCGAGATCGTAGATATTGAGAAAAAATGAGTTTTCAGCACTGAGATAGTCCGTTTATTTTGTATTTTTGCCACATTCTATACATCGATGGAAAATGAAGACATATTCGAAATAAGCAGACAAAACTGGAACGAATCGTACGTTACTCAAATGTTTTTAAGAGAAAAAAAATTTTTTCTATTAATCTTAACTAACCTAAGAAAAATTATATATCCATAGCTCAATTGTATCAATTACTGCCGATTGTAAGACCAGTAATTAGACATGTACGATCGATGTTAACAAGAGCTCGAGCAATTAATAAACTAAAAGTTGATCAAAACATAATATCGAATTATTTATTAACAGAATAAAATTCAATGAAGAAAAATACATCGTCGAATAACATTTTTCTTCAGAACTTTAATGTATTGGTAATAGTATAATAGAATGCACAATTTTTAATTACAAATAATTATTATAATAACTAAATAAAATGAGATCATAAACAAAATATACTCGGTCTCTAGTTTGCACATTTTCACTTTGTAGTCAATGATTTTTCTTCTTCTCAGCTAAACAACACCCACAGCCAACAAACAAACCCCAAGTTAATTTGCAAAAATATGAAGTACAAGAACATCTAGAGAATAAATTTGACGGTCATCCGTCAAGATCATTCAAATATCTTCAAGAAATGACAGGAGAGTCAACAAGAAATGGTAATGAGATAACCGTAGACTGGTACTAATATTGACCATGTTTAATTTATTTTAGATACATCAGGAACGAATGGAAATGTAAAAATGAGAGGTATATAAACGATTAATGGTCATTCATCATCCGTTTCCATTTATAAGCGATTGAAGATCCGATGGATGCTAATGAGCGCGAAACTATTTTGTCAATAAAATCTAGCTAAAGTTTTGTTTATATTTTTTAGTTGAAATCACAGAATCGACTCCAATAGTTCAAGTAACAGAAAGTATTCAAAAAATGACTGTACAAGCAACAGCATCATCTTCATCACCTACACCACAATCACAACAACAAACTTCTATACTTGCCGATGATTTTGCTACGGACTTTTAATCAATTTAATAATATATCTACCGGTTATTCACTTATTTATCGTTATTAATTATTGACGCACTTCAGCTTATGGACTATTATGGAAAAAATCCCCTTTTTAAGAAAAAATATTGTTTCTTTTTATAAAAATTTTATACATGACACTTCTATTTTGTTCTTCTCTCTTTCTTTCTTTATTTTTAATCTTAAATCTCTATGCAAAATTCTGATCGAACAAAATTGTATGTGCTTTCTATCATAACGCTGTTGAACACATTTTCCTATACACATCTTCCCTTTTCAAACAATAGTATATGTTACTAATTTTAGATAGTTAATTGATTATTGAAAATTTATTTTCTTGATCTTTTCTTTTGGCCTATTTATAATTGTGACGACACTACTGTTTTGTTTTATTATTTTTTTTTTTTCTGCAATTATCTGATTTTTCTTTCCGAAAACAAAACTAAACAAAAATACTAACATCCGATAAATGGTTGATATCGCTCTCATGTAAACTAAAAATATTTAGTAATAATGCAAAAAAGTCTCTCTTTGACTCATTTTATTCTAGTAATAATTAATTTAAGTCAATTTTTGTCTATCTTGTTTCCATAATTTTAATTTGGAAAATAATCTTGGCACATACCATTTCGTCGGATGTATATTCAAATCCGATGACAATAATTCGGAACAGAATATTTTTAGACTGTCAAAATTATCAACAAATAGAGTCAGTCAATTTCGTCTTCCTAGAGAAAACTAAGACGGATACTTATGTTCTAACGGTTGCTGTGTATTGATTTAATTTAAAAAACAAATATCGGAGTACGTTGAGTTGATGATATTTGGTTTTATTTTACTTGTAAATACAACTAAAATCGATAATCTAAATGAAAATTATTTTTTCTTTATTGATTAAATTTAATATTTTTATATTTTTAACTTTAAAATGTATCGGTCATTTTTACAAACAAGATTTTGAATTTCTTGACGAAAATTTTGACTATGATAATGATCGTGGTTTTGATGTTCTACCAGGTAGGAAACGATTGTTTTAATGAAACTTTTGATTCGATTCAGATGAAATGTTAATGTGAATGAAGTTTAACAGTAAACGGCTCTGTTTGTACGTTTAATAACATGACCGTCACAGTATAAGAAAAAAGAAATGCCTTAGTTAATAAATGCGTAAATTTACCAGTACGAATTGATATAAACAAAGAGAAGTAGATTTTAGAAGTAGTTTTTGCTTTTCGACATGGATAATGCAGAAGAGCACATGGTGGCACTGCTTTTCTCTCAGAATACAAGAGTATGCTAAAACCTAAACTGCGAAAAACTGAAAATTATTTTTGTATAAATACAGACTCGAACATATGTGTATAATTTCAAATTTTAATTTTGTTTTTCCGATTGTATATCGTAAAATGTGTTCTTGCTACCGAAGGAAAAGTGTGTCAAACAGCAAAAACAGCAGCGACAAGTGAAAATTTGTCGTGTTTCTGTCACTTTAGAGAAACTGGTGCAACCCACCCTCACTAAAGTTCCGACTACTTTAATAGGCCATAGTAGTACGAACCCGGATTGAGTGTTTTATAGAGATCTCTGGAAATCATATTTTGACCTTTATCTTTCAGTGCATAGTCACAACTATCAATGTCGAAACCAGTATTGGGGTTCGAAAGCACCCTATATAGCTCCATCACTGTTAAGTCAGGTTACGCAGTCAAATCCACCTAACGGATTTGAACCGGTTTTTGTAAATTATTTGGGTAGACACGGTTCACGACATATGACAAAACCCGTTTCAAGTTATTTTGCATATAAATTGCTGGCCGGAGCACAACAAGAAAAGGGTTTGACAACAGTCGGTATCCAATTGAAAGCAATGATAGACAAACTAGAAAAACTTGAAAAGAATAACGATCAACAAATATCAGGTGAATATCGATTTTGGAGAAGTTTATTAATTAGAAGGCTTTTATTAAATAGGCTTTTTATTAATTAGAAGTAGAATCATTACAGTACAGATTTATCAGTAGAACTCCTTAGATCTCGAACATCATGTTAGCTCATAACTTCAAATCAAGTATCCATTAATATGCTGAGCATCCCATCAGTATAGATCGTTTACTGAATGGTTCGTCAGATACAAGACTTTCATTCTTTTCTCTATAAAATGTGAATAACATTTGATGCGAAAGAGATGGAAAGTTTATCTTCTACTCAAATGTAGCCATCATAATTCTTCTCTATCTGCACTATCCGTTCAATCTGTTAGTTCCTATTACTTGAAATACAGCTATTTTACACTCACTTTTCAAATTTGAGTTGGTATAATGTGTACCTCTAAACAGTAACTTAAACAATATCAAAACGTTTCCACCATCCTGACTTGGACCCTTTGTGATAAAAATGATATAACTCTGAATGAAAGTGATCATTGCATTTCAAATTAACATTTATATTATTTGTATTTTAGGTACATTCTCTTGTGGAAGCTATGTCTTCCATGTTGAGCAAAAAGCTCGAAGTCGAGTGATAGGCTACATTTGGTGTTGTAGGTTTGACACTATCAGAGTCTGAAAAAGATGTATTAAAATATCATTTGCCATAGATCAATACATCGTAGTCTTCTTTGCAGCTATGAGAGTAGCTGAAATTATGTACATTAATCATGGAACATACGGTAGAAAGGATAATCCTTAATTTCTGGAGCTCGTCTTGAACAAGTGTTTCTTGGCTTCCGAGTCAAAAAATGTTTCCGGATTGAAAGATGAGTTTTTCCAAAGAGAATCTCAAATTTGAAAAGTGAGTGTAAAATAGCTGTATTTCAAGTAATAGGAACT